ACATGCATTAAAGACTATGCAGTATATAATTCAAACTATGCACATCCTAAATTCAACATTTACATTAAATTGCTTTCAGTTAAAATATTTATATAAGTAGTTTAACTGTACCGATATCAATGTCAATTTCCAATAGTTTCTAGAATCTTTTTCCCTCTATTATTTTTGGGCCATTTATTTTAAATTTTATTTTGTCCCATCATTTCTTTCTGGCCTTTTGAACTCGTAAAAAATGTACGAAGTTCCTTTTTACTCTCCTCAAATACGAAATTGCCCCCTTTTTATATACCTTTCCTTCGCACCTATGCTTGATTTTTTGCCCATCGGTGCAGAAAGACTTAGCGGGTGCAAAACAAGACGTCTGTCTGTCTGTCTGTCAGTTTCTAGAATCTCCTGTATAAAACAAGTTAAATTCCTGCATAATTTTTGGTTAAATGTTTGTTAATATTATAATGCAAGATTTATAATTAGTTTAAGATTTTTTAATGTGGTCTCCTTTTAGATATTACATCAGTTTTGTGTATATTTATTCAGATCTAAAAAGAGCTTAGTTTGGGTTTTATGTAATTATGGCACAGCCTCGTGGGATATCTGCCTAAAGTGAGGGTTGCCTTCGTGGAGGACATTCTAAGGAAAACTAGCTCGTATACACGTAACACATGGGGAAAGCCACGAAAACGTCCATGCAACAAGCCGTTCGCGGGATTCCAAACCTTGGACCGAAACTTCTAGTCTTCAGCGATTTTACCGGCCGCTGGTGGGATCAATTTAAAAAGGGTATAAATATATATGTACTGCAATTTCTTTCACTGCATTTGTTAATATATTTATACAGTTATATATATATAACAAATTTTCTGTGCCTTAAACTTCTATGCTTTTGGAAGTTACCAATGATATATCTGTCATTACCAATGATATATTGGTAATGACAGATACATTGGTAATGAAGCCCATACGTCCAGCCCGTTCCCGGGATTCAAACCTCGGACCGCACTACCAGTGTTCGGAGATTTTACCGCTCGGCCACTAGTAGGATCGACTTAAAACGGGCATAAATAGGAATATGTACTGCAATTTCCTTTCACTGCATATATTAATATATTTATAATACATTTATATATACATACAGTTATGTATTTAAAACAGGTTTTGTATGCCTTAATTTTTTATGCTTTTGGAAATTACGAGAAATATGTTGGTAATGACAGATATATTGGTTATCAGAGATATGTTGGTAATGTAACAAACCCTTTCGCAGTATTTGGACATCTGACCAAACTATTAGTGTTCAGCGATTTTACCACACGGTCACTGGTGGGATCGATTTAAAAAGGGTATAAATAGGAATACGTATTGCAATTTCCTTTCACTGCATATGTTAATATATATATGTGTGTGTGTGTGTGTGTGTGTGCAAGATAATATGTTTTATGATTTAACCTATAGTTATTTAATTTTTTTTATTTTCTTCCTATTACTTTTGTTAAAAGTTTGTTATATTTTTACTCACTGCTTATTGGTATCTACGATACATAGTATATTTGTAGCTACGTGATAGGTATAATTCCTGAAATAAATAAAATTATTGATATAATCATGGGTTGCTAAAAATTAAAATTTTTTTTATTCAAATTTATTAGGAATATTAAACACGCGTACGCGGTGCTATATTTCAATGATTTGACTTATGACGTTGTTGCATAACCTTCTCAGACAAAATAATGTATTTTAATCATAAAATTCCTGTTAACAAATAATTTACAAACATGTAACCTTTTAGAAAATTTCCATTTTGCAAAAGATCATGCGTAAAATTATGTTTACGTTTCTTCACATACCTGAAGTTTTGAAAAGGACATTTCTTTCTGCATTTAAAATATCCATTAACGTTCCCCATTTCTTTTTTCCATACTCTTTACTAAATGCAGCAGCGCATTTTTTCGGATAATTTCATCATTTACTCGAACTCGATTTTTTTTCTACCGCCATCCTAAGTAATACGTACGTGCGAAACAGCCCCTTTGACAACAAACTACCCCCCTTTCCCTGAGCTTCGAGTATTGTAGAGGTGAGAAGACTGGTTGTTATGCAATAATCGTCACCTCCGCGCGGAATTTCCACTTTATTTTCCGCCGACGGAATATGAAGGAGCCAGACCAACGACTTCATATAACAGGTATACTATCTCGTTGGGCCAGATTCGCTCTCCCTTCTGCTGTCGAGTGGAAAGAGAATCCCGACTGGTTTTCCGATATCGATCTCGACCGGTGTCCAGACTAGATCCCCTAATCGTCCGACGTGGGAGGGTAGATACAGCCCAAGATCCCCCCCTCGTATTTGGAAAGTTCAGTTTTTCATAAATAATAAATAATCTTCAAGTGATTTGCCCAACTAATATTTATGAAAGAATAAACTCAGTTCATTGAGAATTCCAGCTTTAAAGCTGCACAGCGATCAACTTTGTTTGTTGAGATTGTTTTGATTTTAAATAAAATGCTTCATGCATTTTGGAAGACGATCCGACATCATTTCATTTTTAGGTCGGACAAGATTCTACATTGTTCTTTCGTTTTCCCGTAGATTGCTTATCAGAAGCCGAGTAAGGATCAAGCATCAAGGAAGAGTTCAATTACGAGGCTCATAGGCTCAATGCCATCAAAGATTAAATAATTATCATCAGAAAGAGGGTTCGGCAAAGAGGTAAAATTTAGTGTCGAATCGTCAAATTAACAAAAGGTAAACTGCCTTCCTGAGGGGAAAATAATTTTGAGATCTAATAAAAGGCCAGAATCAGTTTTGAAGGGTTACATCATATATTTTGAAAAGATTCGAAATTTCCTTGATCAATGATATACTGGTCATTCACGTAGCGAAAGGCCATTCACGTCCCAAGTGATTTAGGAAATGGTAACGCATTATATGCGCTTTCTAGAGTGGCTCTGGGGCCTTTTTCTAGATGACGCATTTCCTGGATGATAAATAGGCAATGAATGAAGAATAGGGATACCGATCGAAGGAATCTTTTTGAAAAAGTTACCCGAAAGTCACTGTATGAAGCGATTTAAGGGAATAATTTTGGCTGCATTTTTTAATGTCATCGTTCGTAACAAAACAAAGAGCTTTGTAGATTTGCCGAAGTATAATATTTTGGAAAATTTGGCTGTGTTTCCTGTTAGTAATTGCTGTTGCGCCCCACACGGGACTTGCGTAAGTCAGAATAGGCCTTATTATCTTATAGAGTAAAATCTGGTTTTGCGTGGACAGGTCGCTTTTTCTAGCGAAAAAAGACAGTAATTGGGATTTGACAGCCTTCGCTATGGAAATTGTTTTTTTGAATGTGAGGTTGCCAAGTTAATTTTGAATGAAGTATTACTTCTAGATACTTATAAGTAGGAATCCAGGGAATTAGTTCTCCAAAGAATTGCAAGTTAGGTAAATTGCCATGAGTCCTTCGGATAAATAGTAGTAAAGCCGAATAAGAAGATGTTTCTACATCTTGACACTCAAGAATATAATACGATCTTCGTTGTCGTCCAAACAGTGGTGGACTATTTATGAAGCTACATAATTGAGCTGCCTGGTAGCGTTGAGGTTAGGAAGGAATGGTAATTATTTTGCTTGATTTCGTTAAAAATCATTTTGTCATGGGCTTAAATAATGAAATCTCTTGATCTAACTACAGGACTTAATTCCCCACCGGAGCTTCTTAGGAGTGAATTAAACTGCAATGCTAAGAAGAGCCCCAAATAAGATAAGCCTGGCTATTTTAATTTATTACTTAATTGTTTATTAGTAATTGATTTATTTATTAATTTTTGTTTTATTTAATTAAAATTGTTTATTTAGATATTTGTTATTTATTTAATTAAAATTATTGATTATTTATAATTTTATTTACTTATTTTTGTTGAACGTACGTCATAAAAGGACGTAAGTTCAAAAATAGAGGCTCTGTAGTTTAGACCTACTAGAGCCTTACCGTAGTTAAGTCATGTTTTCGTTCCTCATGGAGATTAGAGCAAGGTGATTAGAATAGAGGTTAAAGGTCTATTATAACCTCCTTGGACGTTCTTGCAAGCTCAGTAAAATTCTTCTTAGATTATTTTATTTAAGCCCTTTACCTAAGCCAGGAAACCTTCGCGTTCCTGATGTCAAATCATTTGGAGAAAGGGCGCCACCTGTGAGTTGAAATGTGAAACGTAATGGGCCTTGTGTAAGCTGAGAAATTTCGTAGGATTGATTAACTACTAGAGAAAGATTGCGTTTCGTTGTTGCGGTTGAATGTTTTTAATCTGTCAAGTAATGCGGTCGAATGCCGCTTTCTCTGTGTCTGCGAAGTGACTTATTGTAAAAATGATTATGAAATAAATTTTGAGCATGTAGGTGAATTCAGGAGGGTACTTCGGTATCGTAAGTTATACTATTATTGTTTATTAAAAAAGCGAATTTACTTTGTCGTTTGTTTTCTGTAGACTAGACGTGCATAATTTAATTTAAAATATAGCAGTTAAGTTTATGCACTTAGATGTATTTTGAATTCGACTTGTAGTAGAATATAATACTAAGTATTTAGTTTGTTGCATTTGACAGTATTATGTCTGGAGAAACAAATGTTACTATAAAGACACCCGAAGAAACGACGCAGAATGCTGTTCCCTCAGGACCTCCACCTGTGCCACCTCAGGATTTGTCTTTAAATTTGGATTTGTATAATTATGATTCTCCTGATGCTCAGTCTTGCCCTTATGTTTTAACCAGTCCAAGATCACTTGAGGCATGTTCTCGTGTTGGAATTAAGGTTGGTTTTTCTCTTTAATAATGGAGTTTTAATTTTATGCGTGAAAATTCTAATTTTAAAAAAGAACTGTATTGTGATATTTAATTCTAATAATAAAGTTTATTTACAGCCTGTTGATCTCCTTCATAAGACGTTAGCAGAATTTTCTGATGATGTTGAACCTGATAAACCTTTAGATGAAATTGTGAAACTTTATGATGAACATGAGCAGCAACGAATAAGTAAGTATATTGTGTTTGCAGTGTATTTATGTATTGCAAATGACATAAATTATTGTATTATAATGTATATCCTTTTATGGCTACCTAAATATCTTATGATTAAAACTATAATTTTAATGACAATGCTTAATAAAAGAAAAAGTCATTCTAATAATTACTACATGAAAAGCGTTAACTAGATATTCACATTCATTTGCAGCTATATAAATAAGAGAAAAAGAAGAGTTGATCATCTTATAAATGTAAAATCTCTATTAAAATTATTGCATGTAATTTCAGGTTACAAATTACACATGATCTGATCAATTTTATTTATCAGATCTTTGCCTACGGATTCTTAAATATGTAAGCATGCTACAGTTTTTCAGCAAAGGTATCAAAATTTGGAATTGGAAGAGTTGCCTTGTAAATTTTGTACTTTTATATGGTTCTTCTTTAAATATGCAATAAAAAACTAGATTTTTTTATGCATATGTAGTATTTTAAAAGTGATAAAATCTTGATGAATCACAGTGAAAGATGTCAATCAGTTTTTTTTAGTCGGGTTTTCTTTCACAAAAGCATTAAATTAGATATTCATAGCAATAAACTAGCAATACTAATAACTTAATAAAAGCAATAAACTAGATATAAACCCGTTGGTGCCATTGCAGTTTTACTTGCCAAGCTCCCCAATGGTTGATCGACTTCGACAACAGGTGACATATGATAATCAGATATTAAAACACTTGGAAGTAAGCTGCGTAAACCTGATATTTAGTTCATATAATCAAAATAAATTAAATAATAAATGACATAAATTCAAGTTTGCAGAGAACACAATATATTAAGCATATGGAAGTACAAATTATTAGATATTAAGCATATGGATGTAACCGGTTAAATGTGATATACAAAAATTATCTTGTATTCAATTCAAGTTAGCACAGAAAACAATATATAAAGCCTAATGAAAGTAAAATAATCATGTGATAATAAACCTTTTTAATAATTATCCCTTTTCTTGACAAAGTTATCTATTCAGAAATCAAACAACAAAAATCAGCGTTATATTTACAAAGTTTTCACAGGACTAGTTTCGATGGTTTTACCGAACCATCATCTTCAGCTGCAAAACCGCAAATGAACAAGATAGGAATATGATTAGATAAGATAAGAAAGCCTGGACAAGAATAAGCAAGTGGCGCCATCTGTTGGTAAACCAGAACTAAAACATAATTTCTTTAAAGGCCGAAGGCAAATTTGGATTGGAATTAGGATCGTTAACTAGAACAGAAAGATTTTATGAATGTGAAATGCCTCTAGAAAATCCAGTTCTCCAATGGAAGATGTTTTTTGAATAATTTTGGCAGCAGAAAAATGAAAGTGTGGTTTTTCGGACCAACAATGTTGAGCAACAGAAGACTTCTGTGTTTCCTTTTTCTAACATATGCCTCATGTTCCTTGACCGAAATTTTAAAGGCTCTCTTAGTTTGGCCAATGTAAATTAAACCACACTGGCAAGGAATCCTATAAATACCCCAGGAATTCATATCCGGAATGGGGTCCTTGAGTATGGAACTCGGAATTTTATTGATGGGAGAATAAACAACCCGAAAGTTAAATTTCTGCAAAATATGTGCAACTTTATAGCTAATTGATGGAAAGAAGGGAATGACAACAGAATTTTTATAATCTCCTAAAACAAATCTCCTAAAACAAAAAACTGCGATCAAATCTTCGCAAATCATTTCAGCCAACTTAAAACATTCACTTATCCCATCTGTTGCGAATTGTGCCAGATTATATGCTCTTCCCAAAATTCATAAAAGTGGTATTCCTTTCCGCCCTATTGTATCAAATTTAGGTACTGCCTCGTATCCATTAGCTAAATATTTAGTTTCTAGATTTTCAACTCTATTAGACAATAACATTTACACCATAAAAAATTCAATAGAGTTTGTAAAAAGAGTTAAAACATTTCTCCTAGTAATTTACTCATGGTTTCTTTTGATGTAAAAATCATTATTCACCAATGTCCCAGTGGAGGGTGCATTAAGATGTTCTAGAACCAGACTTCGCGAATTTCATTTCTCTTGCATCGAAATGATGAGCTAATTTCTCTCACTCACTCTGTTGAAACAAACACATTTTGTTTTCCAAAATAAATATTACAAGCAAACTGAGGGATTAGCCATGGGAAGCCCCCTCATTCCCATCCGGGCTGATATCTACATATGCATTATTATGAATCAAAAATTGTTTGAAACTTTAAACTTCCCGGCATGGTTCCGCTACGTAGACGATACTTTTACTCTGTTTGAAGGTAATAAAGATGATTTAAAGAATAAAGTTCTTTCAACAATAAATTCTATCGATCCTGCTATTCAGTTTCACTTTTGAACTTGAGACTTGCAATTCTCTTCCGTTTCTCGACATTCTGGTCACACGTAACACATCCAACTTCAGTACTACGGTTTACCGTAAAACCTTCATCGGTTTTTTTTTTGCCTTCCACCACACTTTAAATCATGTCATCCGACTAAAACAAAAGTTAGCTTCATTTTATTCCTATGTTTTCCGTGCTCTTCAAGTTTGCTCCTCCAAACTAGCCCTTGATGAAGAACTAAAGTATTTAAAAGCAATAGCTATTGACAGGGGCTTTTTCCACCCAACATTATTAATCAAGCAGTTAAAAAATTCTCATCTCAACACACTAAAAGGCACAATCTTGTTTAGGAGATTATAAAAATTCTGTTTGTCATTCCCCTTCTTTCTATCAATTTAGCTATAAAGTTGCACATATTTTGCAGAAATTTAACTTTCGGGTTGTTATTCTCCCATCAATAAAATTCCGAGTTCCATACTCAAGGACCCCATTCCGGATATGAATTCCTGGGGTATTTATAGGATTCCTTGCCAGTGTGGTTTAATTTACATTGGCCAAACTAAGAGAGCCTTAAAATTTCGCGTCAAGGAACATGAGGCATATGTTAGAAAAAAGGAAAACACAGAAGTCTTCTGTTGCTCAACATTGTTGGTCCGAAAAACACAACTTTCAGTTTTTCTGCTGCCAAAATTATTCAAAAAACATCTTCCATTGGAGAACTGGATTTTCTAGAGGCATTTCACATTCATAAAAATCTTTCTGTTCTAGTTAACGATCCTAATTCCAATCCAAATTTGCCTTCGGCCTTTAAAGAAATTATGTTTTAGTTCTGGTTTTACCAACAGATGGCGCCACTTGCTTATTCTTGTCCAGGCTTTCTTATCTTATCTAATCATTATTTCCTATCTTGTTCATCTGCGGTTTTGCAGCTGAAGATGGTGGTTCGGTAAAACCATCGAAACTAGTCCTGTGAAAACTTTGTAAATATAACGCTGATTTTTGTTGTTTGATTTCTGAATTAGTATTTATTCGGCGTGTTATCGTGTCTTAAAGTTATCTATTTAATAGAAAAAATTAGTAAAATTCAGATCTGCCTTTGAATATCTTTCAGTATTATAAAATTCCAAAATATTCCTATTTTTAACCGTACAGTTTCTAAGAAAATTATGAAAATATAAAATCAAAAAGCCACTTTTATAATTAATATCGTCATTGCATAATTTCAAAGTACTCTCAAAACTCTAATTGAAAATCCATTAAATTTTTTTAGTAATAAATTATATTCTGCTCCAACTTATTTTTTATATATGTTCATGTATAGCACTAAAAAACCAACATATTCATTTTAAATTTTGTGTATTAGTTTTTATTAAGACTTGTTTTCTTGCTTCTCAGAACTGAACTTGCGTGTAACTCGTAACAAAAACTAAGGAACATATTATTTATTATTCAATGCTTTGCAACTGATATGCAGCTCATCAGCAGCCAAATAGTAAAGCGACTGAAGTCCGGTAGGGCTAATCTTTGGAATATGGTAACAGGTAGTTTGGTGACATTTTGGTAAGGTGATAAAGGTTACTAGCTAGGACTTTAGCAGTGTACATGGATAAAGTCAAGAGTGTGCGCAATGCCATTTTTGTGCAATTCTGGGATGTTTTTTTAAGTGAAAATAGGTCAACGTGTACTAGCCAAATTACACTTATGCTAGAAAATCTACTAGCCAAATTACACTAATGCTAGAAATTTTATGTAACAAAACTGCTTAATCATGACAAATATTCACTGCAAAATTGGGAAAAAATGCACAATAGCAAACTCCTTGCGCATTTTTCAGAATAACACATACGAATAAACCATGTACACGTCGATTTATTTTTACTTAAAGAAACATCCCAGAATTGCACAAAAATGGCATTGCGCACACTCTTCACTATATCCATGTACACTGCTTTTTTCTCATAAATTAGAAAAATTTAACAAAAATGCATGACAATTTTCTGAATCTTTAAACCCAGTAAAAAGAACATATATGAAATTACCTGATCGCGAAAAAGTATATACCCTTTCCAAATATGAACATTTCCATGTATAAAAATAAAAAATATCCAAAAACTTTTACCTCTAAATTATCTATTATATTACAAACGTCACCAACTAATTCATACCGCAAACATTACAAATGGTTACAAATACTTAGTGTCAAATATTTAAATTATTTCCATGCACGTTTACTTCCACTCTAACGTATACCAAATTCTACAAACATATAATTCACAAAATAACTATCATTTAATTAAAATATAATTAAATTCAAAAACACTACTTAAAATATAAATAAGCACATACATTAAATTAATAAAAATTAGCTTACAATCCTAATTACTTTAAACTAAATCATTGCTAATAACAATTTTCCAATAATACCAAATTACTTTACTTCCACCTTACATTTAGAACAATGCATAAAAATAATATCCTCAAATAATTAAAAATACTAACTTACCTAATCTTCTTCAGAATCTTGCTTACATGGTGGATACACTTTTATTATTGATTCAATAAAATTATTGAACGATTTTTTCTGCAAATTTTTCCTCCACACTTCCTCCGCTAAATAAAAAGCAAAATTCTC